GCCCTGGGCGACCTCAACACTGCCAGCCGCCCGCCGAACAGCTTCTTCCAGCCGCAGCCGCAGCACGCCCGCCTCGCGCTGGACAACAGCGCTCGGCAGCAACAGCCGTTCTGGAAGGCCCTGTTTGACAGCATGCTGGAGGTTGAATCCGACCTACCGACGCGCCCCAAGCAGTCCAAATTCACTTCGTCAGCCATCGATCGGGACTTCATCAGCCTGCCATCGCACGCCATGCTTGAGCTCACACCGGCCATCTGCGTCGCTCACGACCCCGCCATCCTGCCAGACCGCCCCCTCAGCGACCACGCCATCGTCTCCTACACAATCGAGATCAAGCCGAGGACGCCGCCAGTGGAGCAGGCTATCTCCCCAGCCGTTTTCCGCGACCCCTCGTGCGCCAAGTGCCTCCAGCAGATGCTCGACCACACCGTCGCGACCCACCTGCCGATCGCGAACCGCTGGCGCTCGCACAAGCGCCTCATGGTTGAGGCTGCCCGTCTTGTTCGCGATGATTGGGGCAGCCGCGCAGCTGGAGAGATCGGCAAGTCAAACCAGACCGACGGCCAGGTGATCACAGCTCGCTCGATCTCGCGAGCGATCTGGCGTCAGGACATCCATCTGGCACGCCGTCTGCAGTCCACCACCGAGCTCGGCGCAAAGTGCCTCGTTCTGGACGACGGCGTCACCACGCTCTCGGATGCCGCCGAGTTCGCCATGAAGCCCTCCGCTCTGCACCGCGACTTCGAGGCTCGGCAACGCTCTCTGGCACCAGAGCGGCCCAGTTGCCGCGGGGCACGCCCGGGGCCATCGACCCTGAGAAGCTTCGAAAGATCACCCGTGTGCCCCAGCGCAGAGCCCTTCTTTGGGCCCAGTGGAGGCGCCGCGTTGTCCTCCAGGGCATCAAAACCACCGACCCATCGGGCCTTCCTGGGGCAGCCAGAGAGAGCCGTGCGATGGCGGACGCACTTCGCGACCACTGGCGCCCAGTCTTCGAGCGCAAGCAGGTCGACGAAGCGAAGGTCAAGAAGTACATCGCCTCGCACATACCGCTCTTCCCCATCATCGACGTTGGCGCGCCCAAGGCGCAGACCCGCGGCTTCTTGCAGCGCGCTGCCCCGTCCGCGCCCAGGCCCGACCTCTTGCCGCACCGCGCCTGGCTCGCCGCCGACGCGTCCTTGGACTTGCTCGAGGGCCTCGCTTGGCACCTCTGCTCCAACGCTGACTTGATCCACGATCTGAACGACTCCGACTTCGCCTTCCTTCCAAAGGGCGACAACCTCACGGGCGAGCTCACGACGGACCGCATGCCTGAGGACACTCGCCCGCTCTCCCTCAAGAACACGGATATCAAGGCCATCGCGGGCGCTGCCAATTTTCTCATCAAGTCCGCCGTGGCAGAGCGGACGCATTACGCACAACAGGGCTTCGTCGTCGGCCGCAACTTCACCAAGCACATCGTCAACCTAGACGCGGAGATGCGCCGTGCTGGGGCGCGCCCTGACTCCCAGCTGCACATCCCGTCTTCACCAGACTTCGCAGCGGCGTTCCCGTCGCTCGGACGGGTCTGGATCTTCCCATCGCTGGAGCGATTCGGCATTCCTGAGGGCCTGCTCAGTCTCTTCCGCCAGCTGTACCACGCCCCGAACAGCGCCCTCAAGACCGACGGCGCCCGTCACTTCATGTTCCCGATCGAGCCTGGCGCGGCGCAGGGTTGCCCTGCAAGCGGCCCAGCGCGGGCGATCGCGATGGACCCACTGGTGCGCCACCTCGCTTCGTTCGTCGAGACGGTCGATGGCACTCCCGACTACGACAAGGGCTACCCCGGTGTGTGCGCGGACGACATTGGCCTCCTCACGTTCTCGATCGACACGCTGCGCCGCGCATCTGCGCCCTTTCGTGCTGCTGAGGAGCTCGCGCTCCGCTCGTTCAAGCCTCGCAAGTGCGTCGTCGTCCCGCTTTGGACGAAGAATGCCTGAGGGCTTTTCGGATTCGGGGCGAGCCCAGTACCGCGGGACCTTCCTCGGACCCTCGGCCTCTCTCGCCTCACAATGGATCGCACCTGGGCAGAAATGGTGGCAGCGTGGCAGTTATGTCCAGCTTGTTCAGAGTGGCAGTGACGCCACCGTTCGCCTGCACAACACATCGGTCGTTTCGACGCTCAGCTATGTCTCGCAATTCTTTCCGCTTGATCTGACGATTGCCCGCCGTGAAAATTGCATCTTTCACGAAATGCTCAGCCTGCCGCCGAATACGTTTCGCAAAGTAGATCTCGTAGCAATTGCGGAGTTGGGCCCGCCTCCTGCCCCACGATCTGATCAGATTTCTGCCGTCGCCGCCGCAATTCGCTCTGCAACCTACACGCTGCGCGGGGAATGGGGGCCTTTTCCACGCACGTCTGCGAGACACCGCGTGGGAGAAGAGCACGGCTCACTCCTTCCATCGGTGGGAGGCTGGGCAGTGGTCTCCGCCCTTCTGGGAAGAGGACACTTCCATCGTGCAATTCTACAATGCCCTGTCCTGCGGCAAGCGTGCCGCGCCGTTTTCTGCAGCTGCAGTGGCCGCGGCAAACCGCGCAGCTGCCCGCGAGCTCCGCGAGGCCAGAGCCGCCGAGCCACCGCGCCGCCCTAAGGTGCAGCGCGCGGTCGCGCTCGCGCTTCAGCGCGCCTCGTTTTCGTCACCGTTCACAGTCACTCTCGAGAAGCGCAGCGCAGCCTGGGGCATCCATCAGCCGCCCTCTGCCCCAGAGCTCGCGACGCGCTGGTCCGCTCTCACCACTGCGCTCCGCAAAGTCCGCCCCAGCTGGCGCTGGGCGGTTTACAAGACGCTTGCTGGGGGTCAGACGACCACCCACCGCATGCGCGTCCTCCAGCAGAAGAAGTGCGTGTTTGGGTGCCAAGCGGTACCCGACTCGTTCCCTCACTACCTCTCCTGCCCTGGCCTTCTGAGCCTCCTCTGGTCCCCCGACTCTCCCCCGCTCCGCAACACACTTACAAACTGGGGTTTGGGCCCCGCTGCAGCCGATCAGATGATCCTGACAGCGACCTCTCGCTGCTGCGGTCGATCCAGCGGACAGCGCTGGCCTTCAATCTGCCCCAGCCACGATAGCTGAAGGGTTGAGCGCTGCCAAAGCATTGCTCTGGAAGTAGATCGGCGCCAGCGGACGGACGCGCGCGGACAACTTGCCCTCGTATCGCGTCTTGCCCGCTTGCCCTCGTCTCTTCCTATTTGAGTACGTGCACTCCTCCTCCTCCTCCTCCTCCTCCTCCTCCTCCTCCTCCTCCTCCTCCTTCTCCTCCTCCGCATGTTCATCCTGGCTACCCCTGCTCATCCGCCACTTCCTCCTCCTCCTCGTCCAATGTACGCAGCCCCGTTTCTCTCCGATTGCGCACAACACGATGGGGTCCCGTTTGTAACCCCAGGCGCGCTGTGACACCCTCTTGCTTGTCCACTGGACCTGCAGGCGCGCGGGCCAGTCGAGTTTTTCGGGGGCGCTGCGCAACTCGTTAGGCCCATCGAGGGGGCAGGACAAAGAAATCGGCAGAGTAGCCGCGGGGGAGGGGGAGGGCAGAGATCCTCGGTCTTCGGAGAGGGCGAACTCAGGCCGTGAAGGTTCTCGCTGGCGGGCGGCGGCCGAGGCGCGGCGAAGTCGCGGGAAAGGGCAGGAGCGGCCCGGAAGAGGTGCAGCAGGTCGGCGAGCTGGTCCAAGCCCACGTGGCGCCCGAAGGCGTATTACCATTGCCCAGGAGCGGAAGTGCGTGACCACGACCAGGAGTGCGTCGGGGCAGGTCCACCCGCAGGCACGCCGTGTCCATGGAGCAACGTGGCTGGGGTGGGGACGCAACACCCAAAGTGAGGCCGCAAGGCGGCCCGAGGCAGTCGCTGTTCGTCAGGTGGCCGGGGGGCGGGGGAAGGAATCGTCGAGGAGGCCCCGGGCGGTCGTTGGAATGTGAGCAGCCGGCAGCGCAGCACACGGCGCGCCCTAGGGGAGAAGGGGGGGGGCAAGAAGGGGGGCGGAGGCAAGAGGGGGCAGGGAAGAGGAATCGTTGTAATCGGGGGCCACCCATCAGGTCCGCTATGACACGGCCTCGGCGGATAGAAAAAAATCTGCGCCATGGGAGGGGAGAGGTGTGAGGGTTCCATGTCAGATATGGGCCGCACCTGGCGTGGTATGAATACTACTCTCCCTCTCTCCGACGAAGATGGCCCGGCGTTGGCCCGCGCCCCTCCTTTTCCACATGATTTCAAAAGTCGATGTGCTTTGTGTTCTTTTTCAATCGGAACGCTTTCGGTGTCTCGAAATGCAACCTGCTGCACCGTCGGCCTCGCGGACCAATTTTCGGGATCCGAGTCGAGTCCTTCTGGATCCGAGTCTTGCCTCATCGATATCGCCACGCTCCGTGCCCCTCCCCCTCCTTCCCCTGGTCATCCTGCTACTCCCGCTTCTCCCACTCCTGCTCCTGCTGCTGCTGCTGCTGCTGCTGCTGCTGCTGCTGCTGCCGCTGCTGCTGCTGCTGCTGCTGTTCTTCCCTGTCCTCCTCCTTCCTCATCTTCCTTCTCCTCCTGCTCATCCGCCACCTCCCCTTCCTTCTACGCAGCTCCCTTGCTGTGATCGTGCCTGACAAAATGGGGTCCTTCTGGGGTCCAGGTCCGCTGGGACAACCGCTGGCGGACACTGAAAAAAACAACGCAATGGGAACGGATGGGTGGGAGGGGCACGATGTCAGATACAGCGTGCGCGCACGTAGCGTGATCCCTACCCCTCTCGTTTCCCCCTCCTCGCCATGTGCAGAATTGGCACGGAATGTCAAGCATATGTTACGTGCAACTCTCACAAAGCGTTCCGAGCCCGTTCAGCTCAGTTGCGCACACTCGCACCGAACCACACTTCACTGAGTGTTGACTCCAATGTGGTTGAGATGTGTCTTGTACGCTAGCGTTCAGCAAGTATCTAACCTCTTGCGATTACAGTAGCGATCGGATGACACCGCGCGGGCGCGCAGGTTCGAGGTGGAGCTTGTCTCGTTGGGCAAGGGTGTGTGGCACGAAGATGGCAAGCCAGGCCCCGGATGCTTTTCGCATTTGCCTCGTGGCCCGATGTGAAGATTTATATATATAGAGAGAGAGAGAGATGTATACACAGATCTGGAAAGGTTCATGCACATACATGTGCACATGTACATGAAAGGACACGTGCACACACTTGTTTTATTGTATGTATACATCATGTACAGAGATAGCTATATATATATATATATATATATATATATATATAGCTGCACTCCAGGCGGGCAGACCCCTGGCAGTCAAGCAAACCAGGCCAGACCCAAGAACCAGGTGAAGTGGACCAGCGCAGCTAAATGGTGGCTATCCCTTCGCGTGATCAGAGTGCTGGTGCTGATCCTCGGGCACCCTGGATTCGCAGTCGAGAGGAGACCTGCAATGATGCGCGGAGAATGGTGCGGCTTTGTCGCTACGGCCAAGTACGTTGGAACGTGCATGCGTTCAGGTCGCGATGATCATATTCCAGTGACGGTATCAGCAAAGCACACGATCGATCGGCTTGTTGAATTGTGTATTGCAGTGCTCCGCGGTTGTGCACCCACCCCGCTTGCTTCTCCCCCGCCGTCTTGGTCCCCATATTCACCCTCACATCGCGTCTCCCACCATTGCCCCCAGGCTCGGCAAGCAGAAACCTGGCCCACCGCACAGAGAGGCCCGGCTGAGCCCCCATGGACGGTAGTGCGCGTGGACCCGAATAGGGGCCCGCCCGCCCGTTTCCCGATTGATTTTTGCGCGAGACATCTTTCCATGTCTGCACACCATTGACCAGAAGCTTAAGTCGACCGTCCGCCCCGCTGGGTGCAGCACGACGGCCCTCGATGTATGAGAGTGGATACCCAGATAGGGCCTCTCCAGCTCAGCGATGGGCATCCACACATCGCGCGTAGGCCCAGAGGGCCATCCCTCAAGCAGTTCGCCCCTCCTCGCCCCCCAGGGAGCCACGACCGAGGTGGCAGCGGCAGGCGGCCGCACATCGCAAGTGGACCAGGCCCACGTCCCCAGATCAGATCGTTGCACACGGTCCACAGACCCGAGAAAGGCCCCTGGAGACCAAAAATTGCAGACGTCAAGATTGAGATACGGGGCCCCATCATCAAAAGACGACTCCCAGACTTGTCTTAGGGTTGACCAGATTTTCCGGGCGGATCCAGCCGTGGCGACGAGGAGTTTCCCAGAAGCCCGAAGAAGTCAATAACAACAAAAAACGTCCGATGACCTCGAACCTCGACCTTGATGAGGGTAGAGCAAGGGCGAAGGGGGGAGGGTGTGGTATTGGGCTAGCGGGTGCCGACCAGGGCTCTTTGCAACAGGTTGGCTCCGAGCAGGCCCCGCGGTGGTTGCGAGGGGATCTCGGCGTGAGGCGTTTTGGAGGCCTTTGCTTCCCTTTCCGAGCTTTCAGTGCCCTCCTTGGGCCCTGGAACCGTCAAATTTCGACTCCAGATGAAAGTCCGTTCCCAAGGGAAGCCCTGGAGTCCAGGGCATTTTTACCACCTGGGCCTTTTCCTTCATGCCAAGGCTCTTGCCCAGAGTTCCAACAACTCGATTTCTTTTGAGCTTCAAGTCCCCGGACCCATTCCCCCGGGCCGACTGTTCATCTTGGGCCGTTTTAGGCGGTCCCACATTTGGTGAGAAATGTGCAGCGCGATTGTTCGAGCTGTCAGAGCTCTGGGAAGGTAGCCTAGGGGTCTCCGTATATGTGTTAAGAGGGCCCAGACATCCCGAAGAGGACCACGTCTACACCACTCGGCTCCACACCGTGCCCCTTTCCTGAGTACGGGTCGGAGTTAGGAGGACGTGGAGAAGAAAGCGTCGGTGTCTTGTCTGAGTGTCCAAATGTTGCTATGCCCCATGATACCATACTTGAGCTACACAGTCTAGTTTTCTATCGTGGCCCTCCTTGCAAAGCCACAGATCCAATGTCACATGCGGAGCCGCTTCAACCAGGTGGTGTCAAGACACACACACAGCGCAATGCACTTGTGTTGTATCCACTGGTTCGTTGTGTTCATTTCAGTCCCACAATCGCTCTGTCCCTCCGTCTCCGCTTGTCCTGACAGGAGTATGGTGGTCCACCGCATGGAAAATTATAACAGACACGCTACTAGTGAACATCTTCAAAAAGATGGACACCAACGGTGATGGCAAGATCGCTGAAGGAGCACGTTTCTTGTACGGACGGGGAGTAGGAGGCTGACAACGAGAGCTCATAATCGTGCAGTGGTGTTTGTTCTTGCATTCTGAGAAACCACAGGAGACAGGGGTCGTATGTGGAGTGTCCCCGGCAGCCGGCATGCTCACAAGCTCTGGAGCGCGAGGTTTCGAAAGGCAAGGTGCCGGGCATGTTGCGAGCAGCAGCGGGGCGGAGACGATTCATGCAGGGCACTGAGAAGCGAGGGTCGACCGCGCGGACAGTCACGCGCGAGGAGCCCCGCGCAAGGTCGCACGTGAGCCCCCACGTCTCCGCGCGGTTTGCCGCCAGCGCGGCCGGCGTAGGTTCTCGCGTAAGGCCGCCGTGGCCGCACGCCCATGACCCGAGCAGCTCGTGGCCCGTGCGGGGGCAGCGAGGCTGCCGAACGTGTCTTCACGCCTCGTGCTCCCTGCCGCCGTGGCTGCGACTGGGGCTCTTCGTCGCTCGCGCATGGCCGACGTGTGAGGCGGACCTGTCCTCGTGCCCAGGACACCTTGGCGGCGCGCAGAGGGGGGTAGGGGGAGGGGGGAAGCCCTCCTAGAAGCACCCCTGCTTCTCAGAAGGCGCGGGCCTTCTCCATAGACGCAAGGCCGAGGCCTTCTAAGAAGCAGGGTGCTTCGAAGAAGCCTTCCCCCCCCCCTACCCCCTTTTGCGCGCCGCCAAACACCTGTTCTTCATCCCTTGTGTGTGGGGGGGGGAGCAGCGGGAGCAATGCAGCACGGCTCGGAGGCGAGTTCACGGCGTGGTTCCAGTCGCACGGCGGGCAGACGCCGCCCGAGGGCCTCTTCAAGCAGGAAGACCAGGAGGGCGCACGCCTCCCGCGGTGCCCGTGCCGGCCCACACCTCCGGGCGTCGTGGAAAAGGACGCGGCGGACGATCGTCTCGCCACCTCCGGGGTCTGGGGCCGTCTTCGGGCACCAGGGCCGTCAAGGCGCGGGCCGCAAAACGAGGAGCGGGCCCCCGGGGGATGCGGTCGAGAGCTCTGGGCTGGGTCGTGAGAGGAGGTGCGGCGTCGAAGGTCTGGGCTTCGCGGAGAAACGGAAGCTGGCGGGCGGCGAGGCAGGAGTTCGACCTCGCCAGGGGATCGTTTCTTATGCCCTGTTTTGCCGAGCGGCGCGGGCCTTTGCACTCCCACCCTCCCCTGGAGTAGGTCTTGGCCGTTTGGGGGGCGCCTGTTTCGAGCGGGGGGGGTCTCTCCCATAGGGCGCGCTGTTGCAAACAGCCGCATTGAGCAGAGGTCCGAAGCCAGACCCCCGCGCTCCCCCCCCCCTTCCCCCCCCATTCCGGCCCCCCCCCGCCCCCTTTCCTCTCTTCTCCTCCTCCTCCTCCTGGACCGCTCGCCCGGGCAATAATCGTCACAGGTAGCTCTTTTTGTTTGCGTCTGCTTGTCCAGGGGGGGCAGGATTTGTCCGCTCCAGCCGGCGCCTGCAGTAAGCAGCAACGTAATCGTGGCGAGGCCCGATGTCGTCCTCCTTGACTGGGCTTTCGGTCACGTTCGTGGGACGGTCTTGCCACGAACATGATAATTGCCAGCACGCTTGGCAAAGCGAGTTGTGTACATTATCGCGGTCCGCTCCCACCTCCTGCTCCTCAAACAAGACAGCCTTCCACCCAGTGTCGAACCGCCGAAGAAGAAAACGTTCACCAGCCAAGAGGGCAGCACGGGAGCAGCCAGTTCGTCCGCGGGGGCGCGGAGGCAGCTACGCTTCGCGCGTGGCGGTCTGGGCAGAGGCGGCGGCCCTTCTCTCCAAGGGAGGAGGGAGGAGGGAAGCGGGAGGAGGGAGGAGGGAGGAGGGAGGAGGGAGGAGGGAGGAGGGAGGAGGAGGAGGAGGAGGAGGAGGAGGAGGAGAGGAGGAGGAGGAGGAGGAGGAGGAGGAGGAGGGGCGGCGCGAGAGCGCGAGGGGGCGCGTGGAGAGACGCGCGCGTCGCGCACCCTCGGAAGTCGGGCGCCCTGGGGCCTTCCTCCTCCTCCTCCTCCTCCTCCTCCTCCTCCTCCCCTCCTCCTCCTCCTTCTCCTCCTCCTCCTGTGGAGCTCTCTGGGGGCCCTCTTAGGGAGCCCTGGAGGCCCTCTTGGGGCCCTCTTGCAGGGCGTCGATCGACGAAGGGGGGTCCTCGAGCTCCCTCCCCCCCCCCCCCCTGGGGCCATCAAGATCGCCTCCTGGGGCCCGCGGAAGGAGCACGGGAGGACCGGCCGGCGCGCGGCGAGACCTCCGAGGGCCCCTCGTGTCCGCACACCCCGCTGCGCCACCCGCGTCCGTCGGCGGGCGCGTTCCGCTGGCGTGGCAGAGGGGGCAGGGCGTCGCGCTGTCTGGCGGCCGCGTCGGGTGCGGATGGTGGTCGTTGTAAGTTCCACCCGCGCGATCTCTGGCCGCACGACGGGCGCGGCGCGGTCGTGCCGTTGATTCGGTCATCGCCCGATCGGTCCTGGCCGCCGCGAGTGTCGTCCTGGCGGGAGCTTTCACAGAATCCGTAGACAGCTCGTGCGGCTTGAGCTTGCAATCGGAGGTGCGATCTGGTGCTGAAAGTGGGTGCGACGCTCTTCGGCCTCGGAGCGGCCAGCCTCGGTGCATCTCTGACCCACGGCCGCGAGTTGGACGACCAACTCCAGTCGCTGCCTTCGTGGCCCTTACATGTGCTGTGAAGCTGGGACGATGCACTGGGAAGAACGAGGGCTTATCCGTTCAAGCGCCGTTCTGAAGCCACTTTCGAGCTACAGATTGCGGTGGCGGCACCGCGACAGTGTGGGCGGAGGGATCTGTGCAAGGTCCCAGTAGGATGCCGCATCGAAAGACCACGCCAGAGTTTGATGAGGAGCTTCGTAGAGAGTGTGACCGCCCCGCCCTGCAAGCACACTCGCTGCTCTCCAGCAACTCGAAGTACAGCCTTTCCCATTTTCGAGATTCACTCAAGGGCGCCTCCTCGTTGCTCCATGGTCCAGACCGCTTGAAATCCGGCGCATGTGCGCATGACCATGTTACACTGGGTGGTGGCGGTGTGCCGATATTCTGGACGCTGCCGTACAAGAACGAAGCACAGGCGTTCGGATGTTGATGAGGCGGAGGAGGAGGAAGAGCTTCAGACTGAAGATCGTGCGGTGCTTTGTGCCATAGCCTAACGCATCGATTGTGTGCATATTCGTGTGGTGGCACACCAGCAGATCGCTTCCTCCTGGCAGACACTTGCTTCAGGAGTTATACAGTACGTGACAGGCCAGATTTGCCATGTCTGATGTGTCTGACATGATTTCCAGTGTTGCCGTTTGTTCGCCCCGTGACAGCCAGATTGCTTCCGCGAGGATCTCGATGGATTCATCTCGCACGAGGAATTCACTGGACCCAAGGGCAACGAAGAGCTGTAACGCTGTAGACGGTGGCTGCCACTGATTGGGCGGCCGCCCTTCTTAGCTCCCCCTCGCGCCAAGGCGAATATATACATATATATATATATATATATATACAAACATACATACAAACAAACAAACAAACAAACATGCAGACATACATTTAGAGAGTGAGATACGTACATGTGCCTATACAAACAGATGTACATGCATATACATATATGTATACACGTATGCCTTTCTTTTTGGGTCTGAGCGGGGTTGTGGGAGGGCCTCCCCAGGGACATTGTGTGGAGGTATGGGAAGGCGGGGTCCCGATAACAAGGGACATCTCATCCTCGTTTCTTTTTTCCTCCCCTTACATCTTCACTTGTACGGGTCTCTTTTCGTTATACTGACATCCAGCCGCATCTGCTTTGCTTTTCTGCCAGAAGGAGGAGGACACTGACCCTTGCGCCCTTGCACGATGGCAGCGCGGTGCCCACCACCACCGCCAGCGCCCACGCATTGCGCAGGCGCCCGCACATTGGGAAAGCTCTTGGCACACCCCTCATCTCCGCAAACTGGCGTGGAAAGCCAGACGGCGGCCAACCGTCCAGTCACCGGCAGGCTTATGTCTTCGCCCAACGATTTCGACATCGGCCATCTTGCGCATTTTAGATGGAGGAGTCCACGGAGGAGGACCAGGGTCGCGGTGGGGGGGCGGACGAGGGCAGGAGGATGATGATGAGCGAAGCGGAACCTGGAGCAAAGCGGAGCAGGGAGCGGAGCACACCACCCACCCGCCACCCCACCCACACGTCGCCCGCCTCGGGCCCGTGCCCGCTCCGTCTGTCCTCCAGCGCCAGCACCCCAGCAGCTCTTGCAGCACCCTTTCGTCTTCCTGCTCAACCTCAGCGTTTGCCGATGTGGCGCGCTTGCTCCGGCCGCCGCGGGCCAGACGACGGCTCCCCCGGCGCCATTAGTTTAGGCTAGAGTATGGGACGCCTGACGCTTTTGTCAGACCCCGCAGACCGAGCAAGGCATGGACGAATAAGAGACGCGTGTTCAAGTCGAACGGAATGTGATGTGTTCAAGTGACAGCCATTCCAGATTGTCATGTCTGTCCACGGTGTTGTTGTGATTTCTGGTGCTGCTTCCGCTCCTACTGCTGAGGCACACGTCCATGCGGCCATGAGAACTGTTGTTGGTGCAGAGTGTTCCTGCTGCGACCTCCCAGAGTTCGCCTTACCCTCTTCAGTGTCGAAGGTATCACGCAGTTGTTCTGATCTGGTCGAGCCAAGATTTTGGGAGAACGATGACATATGTTCCACGTCCCGTTTGTTCATCGAGTCATCCGTGTACAGTCTGTTCGAACGTGGCAGCCGCAATTGAACAGAAAGCGATTTGCATTGTTGACCTAAGGCGTGGCCAACAGATAGGCACAAGCGTTAGTCTTCTTATCATAACGCATGCTGTAAAGCGTCGCCCTGCGAATTGCATCAAGCGCGTCAGAATGAAAGTTATGTGCAGTTGCTTGCACATTGCCAGGCATAGGTCAGTGCGGAATTGCCGAGACTTGGTTTCGTAATGCGGCTATCCGGGCATTCGGAGCCCGCATTTTCTCGCGAAATTTTGTCAGTGGCCGCAACAACATCTTAACGCAGCCGTGTCAAACGGCAGAAACTAATTGATTGACATTTCCGCTGAGTTTAAAATCAGACACCGTTTACACGTTGATTGTGAGCATCCAGGCTTCAGGTAACCTTGATACTGTAACGTGTCATCGCTTCCCGAACCCGAAATGTAATCCGTACATAGTGGTTTTCCGATGTTCCCGGAACGGCAATAGGTCAGTATGTTCTTACGCATCGTTTCGCTCATTCTGCCAGCCTAGACTGTTCCATCGCTTGCGTTTGCCCCGTCTTCGTCGCCACGGCGCATCCTGGATCGTCTTGTAATGTATGCAACTCCCGTGGTCCGGCCTTGGAGACCGAGGGCTCAGAGGACCTCAGGACACGGCAATTCGAGCCTTGAACGCGGTGGCGGATATGGCCGCCCAGTTTGGCCGCGAAAGTACACCACCGCCCCAACCAACTACCCAGCGTAAAGGAGAGAGGGAGGAGGAAGGAGGAGGAGGAGGAGGAGGGAGGGAGGGAAAAGGGAACAGGGGCGTGCCCAGTGTAGAGGTCAGATCGACGCTGGGATATCGGACGCCCTCGCTGGGGTTCACTGGCGCGACGCCAAAAAGGGGGGCGTCTTCACCGACGTTGGCGCGTGAGCTGCCTGCGTGAGGCCCCGCGTAAGCGCCCTCGTTTCCAATCTCTGGCGTGCCGTGCCGGCGGCCCGCCTACGTCACCGCGGAAAAAAGGTCGCGATGACATTGTGCGTATGGCCTTGTTCTTTTCGTCGCCCACCTGGCTGCAGGGCTCCTTCACATCCAGACTCGGGCCCCCGGTTGTCCAGAGGTCTGGTTTGTCCAGGGATCTGATGTTCGGCGGCGGCAGCCGACGGGCGAGGCCAATGATGCCGTGTGGATTCGAGGCGGGGTCGAGGAGGAGGAGGAGGAGGAGGAGGAGGAGGGAGACGGACAGGAGGAGGAGGAGGAGGAAGGAGAGGAAGCGAGAAAGCGGAGTTGTATGATGATGATGATGATGAGGAGGAGGAGGAGGAGGAGGACGAGTATGAGGATGAGGGTGAGGATGATGTTTATGATGACGATGATGACGTTGATGATGATGATGATGATGATGATGATGATGATGATGATGATGATGATGATGATGATGATGATGATGATGATGATGATGATGATGATGATGGTGGTGAGGATGAGGATGAGGATGAGGATGAGGACAAGGATGATGATGATGATGACGATGCTGACGATGATGATGATGACGACAATGATGATGATGGTCATGATGATAATGCTTATGATGATGATTATGATGATGATGATAATGATGATGATGATGATGGTGGTGATGGTGATGGTGATGGTGGTGGTGGTGGAGGTGGTGATGATGATGATGATGTCGATGATGACGATGATGATGATGGTGATGGTGATGGTGATGGTGATGGTGATGATGGTGACGATGTTCATGCAGATGATCATGGCGATGATGATGACAATGACGATGACGGTGATGATGATGATGATGGCAATGATGGTGCCGATGATGATGATGATGATGATGGTGGTGATGATGATGATGATGATAGTGGTGGTGGTGGTGGTGGCAGCGACGACGATGATGATAACGGGAGGCTGGTGATTATGATAATGAGCATGATGGTGATGTTGATGTAATGGTGACGGTGGTGTTGGTGATGATGGTGATGATGCTGATTATGCTGTTCAGTATGATGATGATGGTGATGATGATGATGATGGTGATGTTGATGATGCTGATTGTGATGATGGTGGTGGAGGTGGCGGCGATGATGATGAGTATAATTGGATGTTGATGATTACGATAATGATGATGATGATGATGATGATGATGGTGATGATGATGCTATGGTGCGGGTGATGATGTGATGATGCTGACTATGCTGTTCATTATGATGGTGATGATGAAAATGATGATGATGATGATGGTAATGGTGGTGATGGTAATGGTGATGGTGATGGTGGTGGTGATGGTGGTGATAATGATTATGCATCTGCGTATACCCTGCAGCCGTAGCCGCTGGGGTTTCCAGGGGGCTCTCTCGAGAGCCTCTTGGAGACAATGTTGGAACCTCCTAGGGCCTCTGAGGGTTCCTGGGGGGAGCTTCCTGGGCTTTCAGGAGCTTCTCGGGGGCTTCAGGGGCGCCTGTTCGCGGTCTTAAGGGCCATCTTTCGAGGAGGGTTCGACACTCTTGAGATGCCTCTTGAGCCGTATTGGGGCTCTCTTGGTAGATTTTGGGGCTGTCTTGTTTGGGAGCGTCTTGGGCGGAATTGGAGCGGCTAGAAGCCCGAAAGGGCGACAACGCCAAAATCTTACAGAAAACCAAGAAACATGCATGAGATTTGACTATTGGGGCCCTTTTTGGGTCCTCTTGGGGCTCTCTGGGGCCATCTTTCGAGGAGGGCTCCACACAGCAGTTCAGATTCCCCCTGGCGAGGCCTTCTCGGCCTCGGGAGCCCTCTTGAGAGGTCTCTTGGGCCGTCTTGGAGCTCTCGTGGGACGTCCTGGGGTTGTCTTGGGAGCGTTCTAGGCGGACTTGGAGCGATCTTCGCCGCTTCCTTGGCTATCATGGGCGGTCAGAAGCTCGAAAAGGCGGCAACGCCAATGTTTCAATATGTATACATAGATAATGCCAAGAATCATAATAATCATCATCATTATAAGAAGACGAACTTCTAGATACATATAGATATATATATATATATATATATATATATATATATATGTATACATATATACACAAGTATGCATTAAAAAATGGATGAGTTGTGCTTTTTGGGATTATCTTGGAGTCCTCTTGGAGTTCTCCAGGACCGTCTTGGGCGCGTGTCGACCTCTTTGGGAGTGGTCTGAAGGGCCATCTTTCAAGGAGGGCCTCATATAGGAGTTCAGATTCCCCCTCGCGGGGCCTTCTCGGCCTCGGGAGCCCTCTTGAGAGGCCTCTAGGGCCGTCCTGGCCTCTCTTGGGAGCGTTTGGCCGGAACTGGGGTGATCTTGGCGGCCTTTTTGATTGCTCTGGGCATATTGGGCCATTTTGGCGCGCTCTTGGCCTGAAGCCGTGGGACTTGCCACCTACTTGGCGCCTCTTGGGGGCGCCCCTAGGACGCTCTGAGAGCACTGAGGGCCGCGCCTAAGAGTCCCGGCATTCCTGACCTCGACCCGGCCTGGGTATTTTTCGTCCCGGGACCCCCAGAGGCCGCCCTGCGCGGGCGAACTAGAAATATTTCGAACCTCTCACCCGAGATTTTAGCACGCTTCTGGCCCGTTGGGCAGGCACATTTAGCACAGACGTCGGCGCAGAAGGAGACAGCAGATAAGTTGTTTTTTGCATCGAGCGACGAAGTGGAGCGCGTTGTCTCGATTGTGGCGCGCTTCCATGTTACAGTTGCGACGCAGTGTGTTGTGTGAATTTCACCACGATTCGCCATATGTTCCATGCATTCTATGTTCGCCAGCATTGGTTTCGGAAGGATTCGTTAGCAAGTTTCTTACAATACATTGACAACGTTGAATTAGAAGGGGGCACGGATTCCAAACCACGGTCCAGGCTGGCGTCGTGATGGTCCCCCTCCCATCGGTTGCAGTTCTGTTGTCCTTATCTCCGATGCGTTTAATTTTGTTGAATATCGCCACAATTTCCGGAAAACACTACCAACACCTAAGGGTCCACGTCAACAGTTGAGTCTGCAGCGGTGTGCACTTCGAACGGCGATCTGAAATCCACGAGTCCGACGCTGAAGGTGGGCGGTTTCTCGCGCAGGCCGTTCCATCGGATCCTCCTTTGTTGGGCCTGCGGGCTTCAGCATCGTTGGCCGCGAAGGTCTGCAGGCAAGGCTCGTCGCCACTGGCGTGTCGCCGCAAGCTCAGATCCAAGGGCCTGCCACGGGCAGGGTTCCCTGCGACGCGCGGCGGCCGTGGGGAAAAGGCTTATTAAGACGGCGCCGCGGTGGAAAATGCCAGCCAAGGTCAGGGGGGAATATCAGGTGCTTGTGGGGCTCTGTGGAGGCCCTGTTGGGACCCTTCTGGCGCTCTCTCGGAGCCCTTGCTGTAGCCCTGGAGGCACCCTTCGGGCCGTTCTGGAGGCCACCGCTCAAAAGTCAGGGAGGTTGAAATTTTGCGCCCCCTTTCGGAGGCTGAAGAATCTCATCTTGGGCACTCTTGAGCCTCTGGCCTCTCTTGGGCGCATCTTGGGGGCCTCAAGAGAGGTGTTGGAAAGATATGCGCCTCTGGGGGTGTCCATGGGACCTTCTGTGGCCAATTAGCGCAGTCGTGGGGCTGCCTTGGGGTCTCTAGGAGGTATATGTTGGAGGCTATGTTGAGCGGTCTCAAAGTTGCTCGCGCCATCTTGGAGGCCACCTTGGCGCATTGGGGATTTTCTTGGTGCCATACCGGGCCAGTTGGGACGTTCCAACCCCTCGCGGAGGGAAATTTCCAGACCCAGGGCAAGGGGTAGGGAAGTCAAGCTACCCACAAGCCGCAGGCCGTCTCGCTCACTCCCACCCGCCCTCCCAACACATAGTCAGCACCCGAGACTCAGCATGGACGGGGGCCACATCGACAACCATCTGGAACCAACGAAAACGCCAGCCAGGTGCACGAAGCCCGCGAGGTGCGCCACACATGCCAGGTGCGCCACGCGCACCAGGTGCGCCTCCGTGGGCAACACGGCGACCCTCCCACAGTCCTTATCAAAAACCGTGCATGTTGATGGCGGCAGGCGGTATGCCGCCCTCCCCCCCCCGCCACCTTTGGCAATGTGAAGGTTGCATGTTGCATAGAAAGGGATGGCGAGCCTGCACACAGCAGGCAATGATGCCGGCACACCCGCCATCCTGCCAAAAAACCCATGCAATGTAAGTGCAGAGCGTCCGCGCATGATCCAGTTTGCGGT